AACCATGTTAGAACAATCGATCAACAAAATTTAGTCAATTGAATAAGTTCTATCAAACCAAAGATAATTGACAACGAACAAAACATGTCCTACCAAACCGAGCCTAACCAACAGAGCCGTGATAGCCAGCCATAAGCTCATGTGTCCAATACTTGAAATATCAATAACACCCTAACTAAAACATGAACATACATATAATTTCACATATATCACCTTCTCCCTATAAACAGGAGAATTATTTTAACGTTCATTGATGTACATATTTTCCTCTCTTCCGTCGCACGCTCCGGGCATTGATCAAAGCCAAGCCAAATAGCCAAAAGTTGAAAAACCCAAAACTCTTAGAATGTGTTTAACAACACTTGTTAATAAAATATATTACTAAACTTAACAAATCTAACCAATCACAAAAATATGCACTTTTGTTGATTTATAAAACTTTAGTTTTAAGGACGCAAATCCAAACTTAATAATCTGATTGAATTTTGCAGCCAAACCCCCCCTCAATATTCTTTCACAAATCAGATTTCTTTCTTAAAACTTTCTTTTTTCCACCAAAATTAGCATAAGAAAAACTTCTTCTCCATAAAAATTTCATTTTGATAATTGCACACTACAACCCATTACAAAGAACCGAAATCAGAACATCTCAAACCAAAAATCCATTCAAAAAAAAAAAAAAAGGAAGAAAAAAAACCCACTTTTACTACTGCACGGCAATATCAAGCACTCTGGCGGAAGGAGAAGCTTTCGGAACAGTGACATACAGAACTCCATCCCTCACCTCCGCTCCAATCTTCTCCGCCACCGCATTTTCTGGCAACGCGATCCTATTACTGTACCTCCCAAAGCTGGCCGCCGGCCATCCCCCTTCCCCTTCTCCCTCCCCTTCCCCTTCCTCCGCCTTAACCTTCTCCGCCTTAATCACAAGCATCCCCTCCTCAACCCAGACCTTAACATCCTTCTTCGTCATCCCCGGTATATCAAACCGCATCTTATACTCCCCCTCACCTTCAACTATCTCCCATGGCGTCCTCCCTCCCCTCCGATACCCATTCAAAAGCTCCGGCAGCCGCCGCAGGTTCGATCGGATCCTCCAAGATCCGATCCATCGTGTCGATCATCTGCTGCACCGTTCTCGCGGCCGGAAACTGGTCCCATATCCCGAGAGTGGGAGCTCGCCGTCGAATCGTTTGGGCCGCCTGCTGCGCCTTTCCGGCGCGCTGGAGTTGATCGATGCTGTTGGATCTTGTGATTCGGGGGTCTGTGCAGCGGATCATGCGGCGGAGGGCTGGAGGGGCGGTGGGGAAGGAGAGCGCCGCGTACATTGTCGGGACGATTTTTTTTTTTTTGTGGCTTCCAGGTGTTTAATGAAATGTCTGAGAGAAAACAGGAGACGGCGGGCGTGTATATGAAGAGGAGGGAATCGCGGTTGCGTTGTTTTCTTTTGGCTTTCTAGAGTTGTCTGGAAGATGGGATAGTCGAGGTTCGTCTACACAGCTGTAGAAGCTTCTCTTTTTTTAAAAAAAAAATTTTATTTATTTATATATTATTAGTTACCATAAAATTAAATCATATTTTAATATATATGAAGATAATATCTGCACTGAATGAAAAAGGTATTAGTTTTATCATTAGAGCAAAAAAATATTAAAAAAAAAAGTTTGTTTGTTGATTGCTTTTTTTTTTTCTTTATTTTGTTTTTAAAAAGATGTATATTTGGTGAATTGTTGACATAATTTTTAATTTTTTTAAAGATAAATTAACATATTTTTAAAAATATTTAAAATAAAATTAGATATTTTGAATATTTTTAAAAATAATCATATGTTAATTAAATGTATCAAACACATTTTATTTCAATTAAAATATAAATAAAATTGATTCCAAACAGCTCTTTGATTTTTTTTGAGATCTATGCAATCAAGGCATATTAACCATTTTAGTTGAAATTTGTATATATAAAT